CCCGCACGCATGCAGGGTCCCCAGGATTTGGCCATCCTCTGCTGCTTTCCCAGGCCACGGGCAGGGAGCTGGACTGGAAGTAGAGCCAGCGCCCATATGGGATCCTCACACTTGGAGGGGGAGGATTAGCCAGTTCAACCACTGCTCCGGGCCCTGGGATATACTTTTCATCCAAGCCATTTCAAATTTCAACCTGAGATCCATTCTTCTGGACAACCACATCGACAAGAAAGTGAGCACAGACAGACCTCCCTGCACCGGCAGCCTCGTGCAGCCCTCTGGACGACGTGTGCTCCCTGACTACAGACGGGGCGCACGACTGCCAGCTCCTTTCCATTTCCCCATTTGTCAATGCAGAGCCTCTTGCTTTTGCTCTCCAACGAAGGGACTGGAGTCTCTGCACGTTCCCCCAGGCCCCTTCCCGGGAACAGTGTGCCCCTTCAGGCAGAGGTCCACATTCTCAGAATGCCAACAGTGCTGTCTGATTCCAGAGAATGAAAGAGATACAGCAGAACAGTGGATCTACTCCTTTTTATTTGAGAGAGAGAGATGTATGCAGATGGGAGAGGGACAGAGAATCAGATCTTACATCCACCGGTTCACTTTCCAACTGGCCAAAGCAATGAGAAACCCGGAGCCAGGAGCTCCACTGGGTGTGCCACGTGAGTGGCAGGCAAGGAGCTGAGGCATCATTGCTACCTCCAGGGGCACGTGAGCGGGGAGCTGGCTTGGATGCAACAGTGGAACTTGAATTCGGGCACTGCAGGCTTAACCGCTGTGCCACAACACTGGGCCCTCACTGTATTTACTCTCCACCAGCACTCTACGCGACAAGAACTTAGCACCATCACTTGCAGGAGTGCAGGAGTTGTAGCAGAGGTGGAGAACTACTGAGCAGCCGAGCTGCAGTGCTGGCCTCCTGCCTTGGAAGGCCATGCCATTCGCGGTGACCCCGGGGGTCCCCAGCTCCACTCCGTTAGATCCGCTTCCGCTCTGCCCCCTCCAGCTCTGGTTGCTTTTCACCTGCAGTTACTAATCCCTGCGTGGTGCTCCCATGGCACTGCGTGTTCTCAGGAGTGGCACTTATCTCAGAGCGCAAACCGCCTGGATGCGTGCCAGTCTACCAATTAGACTATGAACCCACGAGGGGGAGGGAGGGATGGCTGGCGCTCTCTCATTTAACCCTTCGTTTTCTCTATGTCTGGCACACAGCAGGTGTGGACAATGGCGTGACTGTTAGTTGCACGTGGCTGGACCATTCAGTGCTGGCCACTTGTGCGGCTTCCTTACCTCTGCCCTTGCAGTTCAGATCCTCATCGCCTCACTTTTTAAAACAATATCTGCCTATTTGAAAGAGTTACAGAGAAAGAGGAAGAGACGGAAAGACAGGAGGGAGAGATCTTCCATCCACTGCCTAATTCCCTAAATGGCTACAATGATTGAGGCTGGGCCAGACCAAAGCCAGGAAACAGGAGCCTCAACTGGGTCTCCCACGTGAGTCCAGGGGCCCAGCACCTGTGCTATGTTCACTGCTTTCCCAGGAACCAAGGAGTCAGGTCAGAGGCAGAGTAACCTAGACATGAAGTAGCTGAAATTTCAGGTGGTGACTTCATTTTATCATTTTTAAGATTAAAAAACATTTTTTTAACTTCAAAGTTGGAGTTACAAAGAAAGGGAATGACAGAGGAAAAAATCTTCCATCTGCTAATTCACTGCCCAAACAGCTGCAATAGCTAGAGCTGAGCTGATCTGAAACCAGAAGCCAGGAGCTTCTTTTGGGTCTCCCATGCAGGTGCTGGGATCCAAGGCTTTGGGCCATCCTCTACTGCTTTCCCAAGCCACAAGCAGGGAACTAGATAGGAAGTGGAGTAGCCAGGATCAGAACCAGTGCCCATAATAAATGCTGATGCCACAGGCAGATGATTAAATTGCTATACCATTGTGTTGGGCTCCCAGCTGGTGACTATCCACTGTACCACAATGCCAACCCCAAATAGCTCCACCTCACCTGGGGTTATTATCCTAAATCAAGTGAAATGACTACCTCCTTGTCTGATCGCGGAGTATCTCTACAACACTGTCCAAGCTCCTGCATCCCACCGAGGGGTCCCACTGTCCCATTCATAACTACCTGTAGACATCCGACTTCTTCAAATCGGATTCAGTTGCCCTGGTGCGGCCAATGCTTGGATGAGAACTGCAGCTCCTCTGAAATCCACAGCGCTTTGCTTTTGCCTCCTGTGTGGCATTCAATGCATCTGGCCCTGCCCTCCTGTGGCTTAGACATGTCTAGGCTCCCATTTACACTCTGGCATTGCCGTGTGTCTTAGCACAGACAGCTGCTAGAGGCTCAACACATTTGGGACGACCCATCACTGCATGATCGCTTCAATGCCTCATTGCACAACAACTCTTCATGCATTTTTAAAAATGAGTGGGATAACAATCAAATTGAAGAACTCCATGTCCTCAAGACTATCATAAAAAAAAAAAAAGAGTTTTGGAAAAAAAAAACAACTGGCCTTAACTCATTCATGTCTTAAGAAGTCTTGTCAATCAAGGATCGAAAGACGATGCAAGTGGACAGTGGCAGCCCGTGTTAGAATGCTAGGTTAAGAGCTCAATGTGGATAACTTCATGGTTCTTACCATCCTCCCAGGCGGATAAAGAGATTTCCCATTTCACCCTTGAGAAGGTCAAGGCCATGAGAAATTTAAGCTTTTGCTAAGTTTGCCAACATTAGCAACAATTTAAAGTCACAGTCAGGGCCAATGAAACTAGAAATATGTACCCAAAGATACAGCTCACCAAGGTTCCCTGGAAAGGGATAGAACTGTTTCTGGTTTAAAGATTTATTTTTGTATCTGAAAGACAGAGTTGCAGAGTAAGACTCTCGCATCCACTGGCTCACTGCCCAGGTGGCTGAAATGGCTAGGGGATAGGTCAGGAGCCAGGAGTTTTCTCTGAGTCTTCCGTGTGGGTGACTGGGGTCCAAGCAAAAGGGATGCTCTCCATTGCTTTCCTAGGCCATCAGCAGGGAGGTGGATGGAAAGCAGATGTGACAACCTGGGAACCATAGCTGGTTCTTGTCATTTAGCAGAGCTATGTAGGGGCGGACATTGGACACAGCAGTCACGATGCTGCTGGGAGCATCTGCATCCCAGCTCTGCTTCTGATTCCAGCTTCCTGGTGCTGTGCACCCATGCAGGCAGCAGGTGATAGCCAAATGCTTGGTCTTGCTACCCACATGGGAGACCTAGATGGAGCTTTGGACTCCTGGCTTCACCCAGCCCCAACCAAGACTACTACTATAGGCACGTGGGGGGAGAACTAGCAGATGGAAGATAGTTAAACAGTTAAAATAGTTCAATTAAATTCAAATATTTAAATTAATTAAACAAAAGAGCCATCCACTGCACGAGTGAAGGGCAAAGTCCCACTCGGAAACTAGCAACAGGACTCTAAACTGCCATGCTTGTATGTCTATTGGGAACAGGCAGCATGGCCAACGAGTAAACTGCATTTTTTAACTAACTGCCTTTTCAGCTAACACATTGTTTCAAGAAAGCTCACCACTAGGTGGCAGATGTAGAACGGACTTGATAGATAAAAGTGCCAAAAGACTTTAAGACAACATAAAAGTTGTCAGTAATACTGAGTCTTAAACCGCTGATGATTTTTTCAAAGATTATTTTGTCATTTTAAGGAAGCATGCTAAAAACAAATGGTTCCACATAAAAAATATTCTCCCTTATAAGTGAAAATGAATTATCATGTGAGGGGCTTCAAAAAGCTTACAGGAAATGGAATTAAGGCTGCGGGCTGTACTTCCCTGCAAGCAACAGGGATGAGCCCCAACACGGAAGGTGCAAATTGTAGGAAATCACCGTGACACTTACATTTTATTTCCTTGACATTTACACTGATCCACTTACGATCATGTCAAGGAAATGGATGCAACTTTAAAATGTAATAAACATCTCGAGGCAAATGTGCTGAATTTCAGGGTCACCGTTTGTACCGCTTTCTCTCTCTTTCTTCTCCTTGTGGGGAGAAACAAAATCATATGGAATCATGAACAGTGCGCACACACACACACACAGGCTAAGCCAGATGCTAAATCTTGCATGCATATACTACATACACACTCGGGAATAAAACGCTGTCATAATTGAAGGAAAGTCAGATCTTATCCTTACCCCATAAAGAACCTTCTAGAACATTCACGAACATTCTTGAGACCTCCAGAAGAGCTTAGCTTCAGAGTGACCATGTCCCACTTCTGCTGCCCAGGCCTCTGAGCAAAGACTCTTCAGGGATCCACCACCCTGCTGGTCTGAACTTGCCAAACGTTCCCTGACACAGTTCTGCACTCTAGGTCTCCCTGGAGAAGTTCTACCGCCTGCATAACTCCGCAGCAGAGGCCAGCAATCGGGCCGTCCTGGCTTCTTAGTTTGTATATATCACTGGACGGTCACTCGTCAAGCCCAAGCCGTCGTACAAACCTCTCCGAACAAGCGCCATTCAGGGGTTGCCGGGGACCAGACTGCCCGGGCCTGACGCACTTCCAGGAAAGCAAACAGAAGCAGAACAGATCATTCTCTTAACACAAACAAGTTCATTTACATGTCTGTTCCAAAAGGCAGAGCAACTGCTCAAAATATTAAAGAAGAAAGACAACGGGTAATAAAGACTGTTTCCAGAAGTGCCTAAGAGCTGTGTGGAGCGGAGGAGGTCTTCCGCTCTCGCTCCCTGTATAATCCAGCGAAGAGTGGTTGCTGGGGAAGTCTCCTGAAAGAATGGAGTCATAACGCCGTTTCCAAGAAGTTACACAGAGAGGAACTCACTTCAAAAGCACATGAACTTTGGAAACGGCGATAACTCCCCTTCCCCCTAACCACTGTGATACCAGGAGCCTGGCACACCCAGCAGTCCCCGAGCGGCTCGGGAGCCTCCCCTGCCACAGCCACGTCCTTTGCAGGAAGTGCCCAGGCCCTTACCTGCTCCTCCTTCTTTTCCACGGGACTCAGCGGAGGGTGGCTCCCAGAGCCACTGTCCTGGCTGTCTTCATCAATGCCCGCAGTGGTTGGCATGGAATCCTGGCAGGTGGCAGGCCCTGCCTCGCGTTGAGCAGGGTCCTCAGCTTTTCCTTCACTTTCCACCGAACTCAGAGACAGCACACTGAGGTTGCTGGGATAGCTGAGCGCTCCTGGGCTCTGAGGGCTAGGGGGTTTGGGCGTGGTGGGCCTCAGAGGGGTGGGAGGCTGCTCCGACTCAAAGGTGAACCGGCTGCCAGAGCGTGGTTCCCCGGCATCTTGGCTGGACAACTCTGAGGCCAGAGGACTGGACGAGGCGCTGCTGCTGGTGCGGGGGCCATTCCTCTCCGGGGGGCATGAGCTCTGGGCTTCCAGGGGGAACACAGCCGTGTCAACGTCTATTCGGGCATCGTGACAGGTGGCAGCAGGGAAGGACGCAGGCACGCTGCGCACGGGCGACGCCGCGCACCGCCGGTCGGGCTCTGTGCAGCTGGACACCCGGCGGGAGTAGTCGTCGTGCAGCCGGCTGTGCAGCCCGAGCCTCGGGTGGGCCTCGGCAGGGGCAGGGGCAGCGCCTTTAGGGCCTTCTCTCTTCCAAGCAGCGTCCGTCACGTTGCTCACAAATTTCAGGACTCGGTCCAAGTCCATGGCTCTGATGGGGCTCCTCCAACGTTTGGTCCTTCTCTCGGAGCCGCCGAGTTTGTCCGAGTCGGTGGAGGAGCTGCTGAGGGTCCGCTGCGGCACCTGCGGCTTGTCGTGCGCAGCGGCGGCGCGCAGATCGGCCAGGTTGGAGGCAGACTTGCGCTTGAAGGAGCTCTTCCTTAGGAAACTCAGGTTATCCGTGCTCTTGCTTCTGCGGTAGGCAATGCTGTCGTTCTCGGAGTCCTTCAATAGGATTTCGCAAAGGGCAGGTTCCTGGAGGATCGGGGACAGGGGTCGGCCGGGGTGCTGGGAATCCTGGGGCTTCTCTGCGTCCAATAAGCTGATGCGGCCCAGGCCGTAGGCCCTGCGGATGCTGCGGGAGCGGTGGGTGCTTCGCTGGAAGGCATCGTCCGCGTCCTCGGGGTCCGAGCAGTCCGACCCGCAGCCGTCCCCAGTCTTGAGGGGCTCCGTTGCCAGGGTGGACAAGGAGCACCTGCCAGCCGGGCCTCCCGGCACAGCGCCATTGGCGAGGGCTTTGGCTGAGTCGCGTTCTGCAGCCTCCTCCTTCCAGGGATCTGACCCTTCTCGGTTTTGAATCCCCTGCAGGACCGAGGACTTGAGCTTCTTGAAGGATCCCATTTTCCGGAAGGAGGCCAGAGCGTTCCACGTCGAGGAGTTTCCCACCAGGACCATGGAGCGGGGTCTCTCGGCATGAGCGTTCATTCTCTTCCGACTCATGGAGAAGAGGCGCACGAGCTTGGAGGGGCTGAGCTTGGCACCCTGCGCTTCCGCATCCGCGCCGCACGCCCCGTTCTGGCTCGCCCCGGTGCTGGGATCCCGGGAGTCCGAGGCGGAGCAGGTGATGGCCGCCGTTGGCCCATGGCCGTTCTGGGCCGTAGTCATGTTCTTGGGACAGGGCTCCCGCGGCCACCGGGCAGCGAGGCTCAGACCCCCGCGTACGTATGAGTCCGCCGGCCCCTCATCTCCGAGGCCATCAGATTGGCTTGCACACCTGCTGGGCGCATCCGGCTCCTCAGAGGAGATCGACACCTGCTGCAGAAAACACAAGAACGTCTTATACACAGCCCTCTCTACCTTGCTTATCAATCACCAGCAGAAGCGAAAGGGCTGATCACATAAGAGCTGCCTTAAAACGAATTTCACACACACCTCCCCCGCCCCGCCGCCCCGATTCATGTCACAGTAAGTTGAAAAGACATAGGAGCTGTGCATACAGTAGGAAGGCAAAATCCTGAGTGCAAAGCGGTTTAAGTGAAACATTTGCAAACACCAGAGTGAATACACCAAGGCATTGTATAAGCAAGACTGTCTTGTCTTGATTTGAGATGCAACGACTTTTCAACGTCCTCCCAACCCTATTTCAAGTTAGGTCACGTTAGAAAGTCAGCCTGAGGGGACCAGCAGGGACCATGGCAGAGCACGCTAAGCTCTCTCCTGCAGTGCTAGCACGGCATGTGGGTCCTGGGTGTAGTTCTTGCTACTCCACAATCGATCCAGCTTCCTGCTAATGTGCCTGGGAAAGGTGCAGAAGCTGGCCCAAGTCTTTGGACCCCCTGTACCATAATGGCAGACCTGGGAGAAAAACAAAAACAAAAACAAAAAAACTCCTGGCTTCTGGATTTGGATCAGCCCAGCTGCAGCTGTTGAGCTCATCTGGAGAGTGAAGCAACAGGTTTCTCTAACTCTGTCTGTCCTTCTCTGTATGTGTTTCGGAGAAAAGCCAGCCTGGATCACATTCAATACAGCTAATGCACCATCTATGCCAGTGCCAGGGACTAGGATGCCAGCTGCTCCCTGTCCAAGCAGGGGAAGATTTCCCAGGATGATAAAGACACACTGCCTGTAATGGCAGTGACCTTGGGCAGCAGGGACCAGGAACGAAAGCCTGAGCGACAGGCTTTGTGAAGGAAACAGTGCTGGTGAGATTGACTGGCCAGCGAATGGACAGACGGGAGGACGGCAAGACACAAGAACTCGAGTGACACACGGGACACGGTGCTCTTCCCTCCTCCCCTCACACACCTGAGTCCTTGCCCTACCCCCCGTTCACCTGTGTTCATGCCCTTTCCGGGAAGTATCTTTGTCCATGCTTTTCCTTCCACCTTGACCTTGTTCTTCCATTGTCTGTCTACGTCCAAGACACCTGTCTGCAAGGTGGTGCCAAAAGTTCCCACTGTGAGTAGCCGCCCCCAGACTCATTTAAACGGAACCGACCAATCAGAAGACAACAAAAACCTTTATCTCAAACTCCATCATCACCACTGCTTAGGCTAGGCGCACCTCAGTCCTGGGCGACTTCCTGGCCCACTCCCTGGTGCACTGGTGAACCGCGCCTGGGAGCAGAGCTCAAGAGAAGCTTGGTTTGATCATCATTCTGGTCTCGGGAGCCCTGCTATTTTAGTGCAGTTTTTAGGTGACACTTCCTTTTCCTTTTTTTTTATTATTTATTTTTATTGAAAGGCAGATTTACAGATAGAGAAGAAGATAAAGATCTTCCATCCACTGATTTACTTTCTGCAACAGCCAGAGTTGATCCAATCTGAAGCCAGGAACTAGAAGTCTCCCAAAAACTTGGACCACCCTCCACTGCTTTCGCAGGCCACGAGCATGGAACTAGATGGGAAGTGGAGCAGCTGGGACACAAACCTGCACTCATATGGGATGCCACACTTGGAAGTGAAGGATTAGCCAGTTGAGCCATTGCACCGTCCCCAAGCCCTGCCCTTTCGCCTCTGTCTATGCCCTCCCCCCTTCTAACCTGTGGCTGTGTGCACTCCCACACACCCTTGTGGCTGCTCTCTCCCCAGAAAGTGAATATGCAGAGCTGGTGCTGTGATGTGGCAGGTAAAGCTGCCACCTGCAGCACTGGCATCTCATACAGGTGCAGGCTGGAGCCTTGGATGCTCTACTTCCAATCCAGCTCCCTGCTAACGTGCCTGGGAAAGCAGCAATGAATGATCCCAGTACTTGGGTCCTTGCACCGAAGTGGGAGATCTGCGAGGAGCTCCTGGCTTTGGCTGGCCCAGCCCAGGTTGTCCCGGTCATTTGGGGGAGTGAACCAATAGATGCAAGATAGCCCTTTCTTTGTCTCTCCCTCCTCTGCATAATTCTGACTTTCAGACAAGCAGATAAACAAATCTCTCTCTTTTAAGTGAACATGCTGCTCTTTTTAACCTTTCCCATCAGGCCTACACCTGCTCAGCTTTCAAGCAGTGCCATAATGTGACAGCCTGTCTCTTCTCATTAAATGACTGGTGAGTGAAAGGACAGACTACACCAACCATGAAAGGCTGTCATCTCTTAGGTGCTTGTCATGTGCGAAACCCCTAAATGAGGTCCTTAAGAGCATCAGGCCTCTAAGTGCTGAGTACACATATCTACAAGGTCAATGCGATGATTTTCATTTGCTATGATATCAAATTGATGCTTAGGCAGATTAGTTCATTGGTTTTGGGGTGCCCTACAATGACCTCCAACCCCAAAAAGATTATGCTGTTTTGGACTGCAAAAAAATGAATGAATGGGGAGGCAGGCACAGTTGGGATTTGTACCCCACGCTGTATTTGGCTGCCGTTTCAGTGACTCATGAGCCAGCAGTCTTTGGGTGCCAATTAAGTCCATTACTTCCAAAGGCGGGGGGGGGGGGGACAGGGGAGAAAGGCAGCTAGAGACCCTGCAATTAGGTCCTGGGTCAGATCACCCCCACCCCACCTTTCAAGTGCATGATTTGCCTTCATGTGGAGACAGTGAGACTAGATCCCAGGGAGAGCCAGATCCAGGGGTTCAAGGTCCTGTCCAGGACCAGAGAGGCCGTACAGACTCAGCCCATCAGCCAAGCCATTTGTCGGAAGACAGGCGGACTGCCTCATGCACTCAGACATCGAAAGTCAAGAGACAGAAATTCGGAGGCCTGAGCAACCACAGGGGGCATTTGAATGCGTGACCTAACCCATCCTGAATCATTTCTTCACTGAGGCTCAGTGGAAAATCTGTGACCAGCACTGGAATCAATCCAACTTTTGGTGGTGAGAAGGAACACAGAGGAGGCAACTGAGCCACCTGGAGAAAAGAGGTCCTGCTGTCTGGAGACGTGTAAGATAGGAGTTTGGGACCCCTTGTTGGGAAGATAACAGGCTCACCAAGGCTGAACTGGATCAACCTGCAGCTCCTTACACTGTCTTACCTCCACATGCTCAGTGACACACCTGCCAGGAGCCAAAATACAAGAGCAAAGAGCGGCAGGATCTAGATCCCAGCGGAACTCTCCACCGACTTCTCAGGAAAACCATGAACATCCCTCTCCCTTTCTAGAATGCACACCCCTTTAGTAGAAAATACCCACCCCCTTTCATTAAATGCCCGTCTAATGTTACAAGCAGTTCAGGCAGGGCCACTACCTTCCAAGTAGTCCCACTGCCCCTGTGGAGTGAGTAACTTGGCTCTCTCAATAAAACACTAGCCGTCCACTATGCGCTCTTCTCTGACTCACAGTCTTTCCTGAAGTAAGGCCAAGGTGCTGGGTGGCCGCCCTCACTGTGCGGCACCAGTGTCGTCTGTCTACCTTCACCTGCTCTGGAAGGCATAGTGGCTATGGTGGTCTCTGTGTCTCAGAACCCTGAAAGGAACCAGGGAGTTTCATGTAATGGTCAAGTCCATTCATCGACATTGACAGACTGCCTACTAAGCAGTAATAATGGTCTCATTACGACGTGCATTGGGTGCAGAAGACAAGGCCCTATCTCTGTCTTGTACTTCAGCTGCACAAAGACAATTTACGGGCACCAGAAGTAGAGGGCACCATGAGATCTCTTACAGGCAAGGAAGAACAGGCCAACCTGACCACCAGGACTCACAAGGTATAGGGAAGCACTTGATTAAATGCTGGATATGTCTCAGAATGTTTTATGGAGTTAGAACTAAATTCTATACGATTTTAAAAGATTTAGTGGGGCCCGGCGCGGTGGCGCAAGTGGTTAAGGTCCTCGCCTTGCACGCCCGGGATCCCATATGGGTGCCGGTTCTAATCCCGGCAGCCCCGCTTCCCTTCCAGCTCCCTGCCTGTGGCCTGGGAAAGCAGTCGAGGACGGCCCAAACCTTTGGGAACCTGCACCCGCGTGGGAGACCCGGAAGAGGCTCCTGGCTTCGGATCGGCATAGTATCGGCCCGTTGCGCTCACTTGGGGAGTGAATCATTGGACGGAAGATCTTCCTCTCTGTCTCTCCTCTCTGTATATCCGCCTTTCCAATAGAAAAATAATAAAAATAAATCTTTAAAAAAAAAAGATTTAGTTATTTGAAAGGCAGAGTTAGAGAGAATACTTCCATCCACTGGCTCACTCCCTAAATGACTACAATGGTTGGGATTTGGCCAGGCCGAAGCTAGGAGCCAGTTGCTTCCTCTAGGTTTTTCACATGGGTGCAGGGGCCCAAGGACTTGGACCATCATCTTCTGCTGATTTCTCTGGCCGCTGGCAGGGGAGCTGGATGGGGAGTGGAATAGCCAAGATGCAAACTGATGCTTATATAGGACACGGGAGTCCCAGGCGGCAGCTTAACTTATTCAGTCTTAGCACTGTCACATGCATCTTGAGGAAGGCATTTCAGAAATCTGTGCTTCAGTGTTGTCAATAACAGAAGAGGTGCCAACATTTAGGCATGTGTCAACCAAGTTGATCATCCTTAAGCACAAGCCTCAAATGGATATGAGGCCCTATGCAGGACCAGGGTCAATTCCAGGCGGTGGTAGGTGTGAGTAGAAGCGCAGGAGTTGGAACCGAAATGTGCGAATGGGAGGCAGGCAACAGGATGGGCAGCTGTCTAGATGCCCAGGGGCTAAGGAGTGTCCCACAATGTGGGACTTCAAGGACTGAAGCAGAAAGAGTTCTTGACAAACTGGGCTGCCCAATGTTTAGAGTAAGCAGAATCATACTTGTATATACAGATTTCAATTTCTTGTTCCATTTCTCCAATAACTCTGAAGTACTTACCTATAATTAGCAAGATGGCTCAGCAGTAGAAAGCAAGGTAAAG